TAAACACGAATTCTATTAAGTAAAACCCGTTAAACATGATTTACATGAGATATGAACTGAACATGAGACGAACTTGATTATGAACGATTACAAACGGGTTTGATATGAACTGAACAAATTTTAATACGATATAATATAAACCGCCACAATTCTCCACCACTTCCCAAAACCCAAAAGGATATCATGAGAGGTAAGGATTAGGAAGAAGTCAAAATGGGTAAAAGAACATTTTCTTGCCACACCATTTCCACATTGGTTTGGATGGCACAGTTTCTGATAACAAGGTTCTGCTAATAAGGTCGGCAGTTGATGAGCTTGTGAATGAATGGAGACTCTTTTGATTAGTCATCCAAATACTGTGGCAGGGGTTGTACCTGCCATGGCCATATCTTCCTCGTGCTACCAAGTCTTCCCAATATCTATAGGGTTTCAAATTTTGAGGCGCTTTGATTGCCTTCTGTTCCTTTTTTTTTTATTTTTTTTTTTGGGTGGGGAGGGATTTGAGGTCTAGCAATAGATGTCATGATTCATTTGTAATTATGTATAGTCGAGTTTATGTTGTAATTGTAAGGGTGTTAATTGAGTTAAGTTTGTTGAATTTTAGTTGATTATATTTGTCTACTTGTGACTGTTCGACTTGTGACTGTTCGAGCTCAATTGCCGAGTTTTGTTCGAACTTGGTTTGGCAAATCTTACGAGCATTCGAGTCAATTCTTAAATAATCAATTTCCTAACACCTCAATATTCGTATAACTTATAGTATAATCAAATCTGATATGTTCAAAATTTGTAAGAATCTATTAGAGAGAGAGAGAGAGTGAGAAATGTATGCGGTCAAGTAATTTGGGAATAAACTTGGAATTGTTCATTTTTTGGAAATGAATTGTTCGGCAATAAAATTAGAATTATTTCCAAAAAAAAATACTCGATTCGAGTCGAGCCTACTCAGTTCTAGCCATACATAAACAGGACATTTTGACTCATTTATGAAATGAATCCTCAAACTCTATCCATTTTGTAAATTAAACGAGCCTAAAAGAGCCAAAATCCTATCAAACCCAAGCTTGTTTCATTGCTTAACCGCCTTGCGCTTCGGATTTGTGTCATACATAAATCGTATGTGATTTGACCCATTTATTAAGCAAGATTGTTCCACGGTTCATTGAATTAAGATCATCAAATTTGTATTTTTTTTTTAGCATACCTATGCATTTCATGTTCCATGACAATTAGAGTCCCTAATCAAAAAGCCTCCATCCAACGTACCAAGGCCCATTTCATTGAAGTGCACACCATTAAAGGCCATTTCTTAATACCCAAGAACACAATAATATATATATATATATTCACATGCAACTAACTCCATAACTGTATTAACTGAAATCCCATAAACAAGTAATAAAGAATGATGAGTCAATGTTTTCTCTCCCTAGTGAGAGAACCAAAGATAAGAAACATGGGAATTCATGTGATCACATGACCCATGGAAGGGTGGGTTCAGTTGGACCAAAGCTGAAGAATGGTCTTAAAAAATGCCTAATAAAATGTTCAAATACTGTACTACCATGTGCATCTAACCCTGAATAATATTTGTTGTGAAGCATGTGAGAGTATCCAATTGGTCAGTGTTGTGATCGTGTAGCAATTATGGTGAATAGTAAGGAATCAAACAATTAAGAAAATAAGAGAAAATAACACACAGAGATTTACGTGGTTCGGCAATGTGCCTACATCCACGAGAGCGAGCGGCCGTTCTTTTTCATTATTAAAAGTAGGATTACATCTTAAGTATTTATATAACCCTAATACAGACGTATTTATAAAAATACTCATGTACCATACCGCGGGGGCGTTGCCCCCGCACCCTCAACTAATCAGCGTCCCCTTTATATAAATCCCGCAAGGCCGAAGCCGTCGCGAGCTCCGCTTCGCTCCACTCCGGCATTTGTCTCTTTGCCATTATGCACACAGCAAATATGAGTCACACATACTCTAACAGTCAAAAATAATTTTTCATGTGTTTTCTCCTAGGGCACATTCATCCGAACTTCTGTTCACCTATCCGTAAGTTCTTTCGCCTTTGATATAGATGCATCGTTATAAACTATAATAGTTGAATGTTCAAATAAATATAACGACATAAGCGGACATGTGAGTGCTCAATCTAATAAAGCATCTAACTCATGCATGAAATTTGGGGGAGACTCACCTAGAAGAAAGAAAGAGAAGATGGATTTCTATAGTACAAAATTTCTGAATTTGTTGTGAAAGCATGTGAGTGGACCCAATTGATCAGAAATGATTTTTCATGTTTTCCTCCTTTAGGGTTCTATTATGCTATTCATCCGGACTTCTTTTCAACTATCTGTAAATTCGTTCTCATATGATATAGATGTACCGTTATAAATTGTAATAGTTGAGTGTTTAGTTAAATTAAAACGATATACCCATACTGAAAAAAATAGAATGATATATGGGGGTGGGGGGGAAGAAAACATATGAGTACTCAATCTAGGAGTTGTGGTGTGCTAAAATAGGGACAGAGCGGCAAACAATTCAACAGATAATAAGCTTCACGGAAAAAAAAAATTGTGTAAATGTTGTGGAAAAACAGAAAGCCCCAATTACAAGAAAAAATATATTTCCAATAAACCGGAGTTTTTGCTAAACAAACACAACAATTTTTTTTTCTCGTTCTCCCATTTTTTACCCCTCTCTCGCTAACCAAATGAAGCCTAAAAGAAAGGAAGAAAGAGAAAAAGATTGGGGGAGGGGGGTTCTTGTGGTACAAAATTTCTGAATTTGTTGATCTTTTTATAGATTTTTTCCATTTCTTTTTTTTTTTTTCTCCAGTAGCCATAAACATCGTCTACAATGCCAAACCGCATTATTGTTCTTTTTTTTTTTTTTTAGTTTTTTCCCATTTCCTTTATTTCTTTTTTCAATAGCAATAAACATCATCTCCAATGCCAAACCGCATTATACTAACTCCCAAAGAGTAAACCCCGACGCTTACAACACCCTATTAAACCCAAGAGTTACCATGAACCCAAAAAATCTGAGTTTACAATTCACACCAATTCCAACCACACCACCACTACGCCACACAAACAAGAAAATTTTGGACCTTCAAATCCCAAACCTCTCTTGTAGATGTCATGCTTGCATTATTAAGAAAAAATAGATTAGCAAGATCGACAGAGTATGAATAAATTCTATTACCAGGGATAAGATTCGCATCCAACATTATTTCAAATGCTACTTCTTTCATGGTTTTGTAAGAACATTAAATTTGTTTTACCAAGAAAACATCCATTTTTGTTCTATTTAGCAAAACAAACATAAAAAAAATAGAAATGAGATTTTCATTAAAGTTGAATATGATAGAAACTAGAGTAAACTACACATATAACCTTTAAACTATAACCCTTGAGTCAATTAAGCCTAAATTTTTTTTATGTTAATCACTAATTGTGTCAATTGAACTTTCTTGTCTACCTCCGTTATATTTTCTAACACAGAGTGATAGTGTGTCACTCACATGATCGGACTACGACTCATTTGTGTCACGTAAATAGCACATTTCACAACTTTCTGTTAAAAAATTTAATAGAAACAAACAGAATGAATCAATTGACACAATTAGTGATTGAATAAAAAAAAAATTCAGCAACTTAACTGACATAAAAGGCATATCTGTAGTTTACTCAAGAAACTAACAAATCATAAACTCTCAAAAACAGGGTGGCATAATCTGGGTTTGTGTTAGGGATTGTCATAAACATCAAACTCCAGTATACTAATGACAATAATGAAGCATGCAATCGAAGGGAGCACCAAAACTGCAGTAACCTTTACTGAGAAAAAATGTAGTAAGATAGAGCCTGTACAACACTGGACAAACAAATACCTAGAACATAGAAAATAAATTATCATCATCTATAACAGCAACTCTTACAAGTAGAGGTAAATCACCCCCTAAAGAAATTCGTATAAACGCCCCAAATCCCCAAAGAACCCATTGAATATTCCTTAAAAAGGGTATACAAGGTCAACAACAAGGATTTTTTTTCTCAGTCGAATTCTCCTGTAGCCTCTAAACATTGTGAAGATAAAAACACCAGTAACATTTCAAAAACCCTTTCCCCTCTGCTTCCAAAATCATTCATTTTGCCAAAAAGACAGCACGAAACCAGTAACACGTATGGCTTTCAATCCTCACTCCACAAGAGGAAAAAGGGAGGCCAATGGTTGCAGTACAGCAATTCTTGAACAGCTCCACCCTCTTAAGGCTGTGACTATACCATCTCTACCACCAGCCCCCCAACACCCCACAAAAAAAAAAAAAAAAAAACCAAAGAAAAACAAAAACTACCCAGCCAAGGAAAAAACACAAGACAGAAAGAGACGGAGAATAAGAGAGTTTCCTAGTTCATAATTTGTCCAGATGCAATGAATTTGAATAGTACATGATAAAAGGACAGCAACTTCCAGAGAATAAAACCTTGAAGCAATATCACACCTTCCAGAAAAAGAAAAAAAAAACCAATATTGCATCCAGTAGCTCTATAAGAGGCATAAAAACCCAAATAATTGACAATTAACTATTTGATGGTACAGTTTCTTATGTACAGAACGACAGAATGAAGGGGTAAAAGCAGCTTCTCCCCCCACCACACACTATCACTATGAGGAATGGTAACCCAAAGAGCCCAAAAAAATAGCTATAAAAGAAAAGGCAGGGAACAAAAAAAAACAAGGCACTAAACTGGTAAAATCCATCCCTGCCCCTTCCAACTATTTGACACCCTATGAATTTTACAAATATATCTGAAAGAATAAATTTACATCCGGGGCAGTGGATGTTAAAAAAGGAGGAACTATGTAGAGAGCAAGAAAAGGATGAATATTCACATTGTGACATTGCCCAGAGTAGAAGCCATCTTAGGTTTGACACTGTGGAGCATCAGAAGAAGAAAACCACAAAAAGAACCACAGCCTCATTCCTGTAAAAATTGGAAGGCTGGATTTTCAAGAAGCTCCACTGCAGGTATTACATCCGAGAAATCCTTCTCCTTAAGGGAACTGCTAATTTCATCGACCGAGAAAGGAATACTGCAGTTAAAAAGACAATTAGCAATAGTTTGGAACACATGTCTTAAGGAATATCGTTTCTTATCACAAAACCTGGAATTATCATCCAACAAAAAAGAGTTGCTATCAGCATCATTTGAGTCTTCTGTCATTAACACCTTCATGCTGGAAATGACCTGCAAAAAGCACAGGAGGAGCAGGGAACACCACAAAAAAGAATCACATAAAAAGGAAAGAGAAAAAATTGATTAGTTACCAGAAAATGTAATAAATCCCCATGAAATATAGATTCCCTTAACTTACATCTGGAGATACACTTCGAGTGTTGTAGTTGTCATCCCAATAAAGTGTACATATTCTATAAAGCTGCTGAACACTTAGAATCTGAAAGAAACAAGCATTGATTTGGGTGTTTCAGCAATAATTCTATGAACCAAATTTCTTTCACCAACAGCCAACAATTCATAAACTTATCAAATATTCCTGAACAAATTCCGCATTATTCATGGAATTCTTTCCAATAGATCGAATTTTACTAACGAAATTAGCTGCTGCAACGGGCTCTGCTACTAATTTATTTCCAGTAACCTCCAAAAAGGTACCAGGACCCAAATTCAAACTCAAATCCCCTCCCCCAAACACCAAAAAAGGGAGGAAAAATACTAATCTAACATAAACACGGACATAGACTTACAGGGCAGAGGTCATTTGTAAGATCATCATAGGAAATTCTGGACTTCTGATGTATGACCTGCATATTGATGTACATTGTTAACCAAACTTCAAGGGACGCGATAATATAACAAACACCATATATAGATCCAATTCTTCAGAAGCCAAAAGCTGAAAACTCCATTCATATGTGCATTGAAAAAAACCGACCTTATGGAAGATAATGCATGATGTCGAACATTCGAAATTATTTATACAAGAGCTTGAAATCCTTTAACGTACAAAATAGAGATATGAGACCACACAAACAAGAGGTGCATCAAGCATTTCTTGGTTTACCAACAAGCACAAACTGAGATCAAGTAGATTGACCAGTTTGATAATTCTGCAAAGGAGATAGGCTTAAACACAAGAATAAGACAAAGGAGATTATGAGAGCACTGATCATTTATTTTACATTGCCCTATTGTTGCGTCTTTGTGATATAAATTGTTTACATTGATGTGCTAGAATTGGCTGCCTCTCGTGTCATCCGCATCATTGTTTGTTAAAGATTTGAAAGGTTTTGGGCTTCCTGAAAAAGGAAGCACTGAAATTGTGCTATTATGGCTATTTTTTGGTTTATTTGAAAAGAATTCAAGAATTTATGGGATCATATTCATTTCATAGCACCTCATTTTGGGCTTCGGTTTCTAAGTCATTCAAAAGAATTCCAATGTTTACTATTTTGGCATGGTGAAAAGCTTTATATGATTTATGAGTTTTTTTCAATGTACTTCTTTTGTTTGTGATTTTCTTTCCGTTGGTTGAACATCTTATCCAACCTGTTTCATGTACTTTGTGATTTTTATTAATACAAGTTTTCTGTTAGCTATCAAAAAAAAAAAGATCATTTTTCTTTTGTGTCAGACTGGAACAAGAGGTCAGAAAGGAAAAATCTAGAGGTTCATCCTCTTTTTAGCTTCAAATAAAAAAATGAGGAGTTTCAATTCCAGTAGAATTTTCTACAGCTCCTTTTCATATGCCATGAAATCACTTCAACATTTGGCCAATCTTAGATGAAAGGGTTACACATGGGTGGCATTTATAATTAATCTACCAGACAAATGAATATAATTCACATCTTCACCATAAATTCATAAAGTTAATGCAGACCGCAAGATTACTTAAGATGTGCCAATAAATTTGGAGGGAAATCACGTATAAATACTTTCTCAACTGCGAATTAGTCCTACCAACTTCTGATAGGACCAAAAAGTCCACCGTTTGTAGGATTCTTCTATGTAAATTCGTGTTTACATTTCCTATATTATCTGTCTAATAAGTGAGCTAGGAAGTTGAAAACATACCCCCTCCCCCCCCTTCAAAAAAAAAAAAACAATAAATCGTTGACATCTTTACCAAATTGATCCAAAGGCCACAAATTGCTCCTCAATTTTTTTCCCCAAAATCCTGCCTGCAGTCGCACTCTGGCTTTTCTCACACGAGTCCTCACTCTCTCCACCTTCTCTCTCTCTCCCATCTCTCTCCTCCCTAAGACCAGCCATTCCAACAGTGCCACCACCTCCGCCACTACCTCCATCCAACATCCCCACTCTCTCTCTCTCTCACACACACACACACAGGTACTCTCCCCCTCTGTCTCTTCCCCTCTTCTCCACACCCCCTTGCTGCCTCTCTCCTCCACAAACACACACAAAGCACACATGCACACACACATACACGTCCCCTTACTCCCCTCCCAAGCCCTCCGTCACACACACATCCTCTTCTTTTCCTCAACCTCCCCTGGTCCTGCACATAAATACATCTGCACCCACCAACACATTTTGCACTCACTCAATTTTCCACACACCCACCCAATTTCACACGCACACCCACTCAATTTCACACCCACATACCTCTACACACACTCAATTTCCCACACACCCACCCAATTGCACACGCACACCCACTCAATTTCACACGCACATAGACCCACACACCTCCGCGCATGCACACTCAATTTCTCTCTCTCTCTCTCTCAGAGACACCCACACGTCTACCCATACAAACTTACGTAAATACCCACACAACCGATTCTTTGCCACTCCATTCTCCCTTATTCAGTCTCTCTTCTTATTTATATTCAACTCCATCCATTTTTCTTCGTGTTTAATTGTTGGGTTTGTAGTTGATTTATGATTTAGTTTATTTGATTTGAATTTGTTCGGGAGTGCTATAAGTGTATTATGCAGTCTTTTGGTTGGGGTTAGTGATTTTAGTTGGGTTTAGTTTTTGCCCTTCTATATGTGTATCTCTACTTTTTCTTTTTTCTTTTTTCTTTTTAGTTTTAGGTGTTGGTAGCTGCGTGTTGAAGGCGGGTGTTTGCTAAAACCAGTTTGTGGTTTGTTTGGGCTTCTATGGTTGGTTTAATTTGTGCTATAATTTAATTTGGTTCGAGTTAATTTGTTGTTATTGACAATGTTTGTGGGGTTTATTGTTAGGGCACTGGCAATTTTAGTGGCTGAAGCTTTCGGAAGTATCTTAAGTTGACGAAGAAGTAAAGACTCCTGTACCACAATCTTCTGTAGGACTCCTTGGTGAACTCAATCTCAGTTTACAACAAACAGGTCCGTCATTTTTTGCTTCACTTTGACCATCAGTTCATTTTTATGTTTGTTTGGCTCTATCTCTCTCTCTTTTCTTTTTGATTTTGAAATATATGAATTTGGGTGATGATGGTTGATATATAAATATAACTTGTCATATGAGTTCCACAACATTATCATTCTTTTTCTTTCAATTTTTTTTGCCAAGTAAATCTTCAAAAATCTTCCTTCTCTATAAATTTTGTTCCACCAACGGTGCATTTTGAGCCGCTCTAAGCAAAGAATTGGTCATAAATCATGAAGAGCACCACCGTGATTCAACACCATGAAAAACGTGTACTTTTAATTGATAATAATGCTAGAATTGTTGTAGCTGATATTCTAGGTTTACTTGAAGCACAACAATTGAAGTTTTTGTTTAGGCCACGATTTTTTTGGGCAATCTACAATCAAAAACATGATCAGTTTATAGGTAGCAGCCAAAGCATTAATACATTTGCTAGTTATACGTGGATGCATATGTTGGTGCACTAGCTTTCAATACAAATTTTTTTAATATGTTGTCCGCAATGAATAATTCTTTCGTGTATCAGAAGTCGTATCGTTTTTCAAAAACAGTGTATCGCATATCGTAACGTATCGTGTATCATAAGATACGTGCAGTTTTATAAAAGATGTTAAAAAATATATATACCTGTGACAAAGTGTCATAATAACATTTCATTACACCACAAATTTCTCACATAAAACAATTTAAATAGACTACAAGGACCGAAACAAGAAACTAACAATCTAAGTATTGAAGTTTCTAACATAATTCATCAATATCAAAATTTAGAGAGTTCTAGTTCTAACATACGTTTAATAATCAAATTATTTGCTCCGACGATGGAACGAATAAAAAAGAAGACTTTTATTTTTTAAAACTATAGATGGTGAAACGACGTCGTTTCATTACCTATTGTTTGAAAGAATTACTTTCAAGTAAAAAAGCGTCATTTTTGGGTTTTAAAAAAAAAATGATATGTTTGGTCCCGTATCGTACGTATCGTCTTGTGTCAAGTGTGTCGTATCGTGTATTGCATGATAAGGTGCAAACCGATATACTTATGCAATACATATGATTTTCTTCACGTATCAAAATTTATCATATGTATTGTATCTTGTATCGAACGATATTAACAACTATGTTTCTAATTCAAACTAGATAGTCTTTTTATTAGATTTAGACGGAGGTTGAAAAAATGAAAATCCATTTGGTGCAAAGATAAGAGGCCATGAAAAAGAGTAGAGAGCTCATGTTAACACATGGTGTCTTTTTCAAGCCATATTAATAATAAAGATAAATAATAAATAGCATACAGATATGTCATGCAACATTTGTGACATTACTTATTTATGAGTTTTTTTTTTTTCTCTCTTTTTTACCAGGTTGCCAAAAACTTTGGCATATAGCTTGCTTTTGATTGTTTGTATTACATATTATAGAGGATGCATAAGATAAATACTTGCATTATCTATTACGTATTATAGGTTGGATTTTGTGTTGGATCTTGCAATATAATGATAGATTATAGTGTTAATTTGGTGTGACAAGATTTTGTTAATTTGGTTGGATTATAAGTTGTTGCATTAAGTGGTTCATGGTTGGATTAAGATAAGATTGTGGCATGATGGTGAATCCAGTATTTCTAAGGTCTTGTTTGTTGGGAAAACTTTGTCGAAATTATTTCTCTCACTTTCTCTATCTATAGTTTTGTAATGGGGTTAGTTTAATTTCATGGGGATTCTCAGATTGTATTACTGTCATGATTGTTCTTCTTCGTTTCAACCACTGGACTTCTTTTGTTCGAGGTGTTCCTTGACGCGTCATTTGTTTGGTGTCTTTTTTTGTTACAAAGGGCCTTGAGGCACGGACAATGAGTAATCTACTCATAAAAGTCATGGGAAGTTTCAACCGTTTTCGGCTCTAAAACTTTCCTAAAATATTGACTATTTCTGCTTATAATTGAGAATCTAAGAAACATACCTTCATATTCAACAACAAATAAAGAGACAACTAAAGTAATCACATTCCTACTGTGCTGTGCAAAAGAATAAATGGAACGTACCAAGAATCCAACAGCCTGCCTTACATGCTTTAGTTCATCCCATGATAAGCCTGCATACTGCAATGAAGGATTAATTAAGCAACCGACAATTTATGAGATAACACTAATATCAAGGATACAGTGAAGTTGTGCTCAACCAATTTAAAATAAGGACAAATTCTATTTTGTCCCCATGTCGAATACTTCATTGGCACTTCACCCCATCTATGGTTCAAATATAGCCACATAACCCTCATGTGATTTGTGGACTAATGCGCACAGTTAGAAATTCCATCCAAAATGATGGTTCATGCGTCATCAATCCATTATTAATGATGTGCAATAAAGAAATTCCTACAAAACTGACATGGTCAAAGACGAAAATACCCATATGATGCACATACAAAAACAGCCAACCGAACCTTGAACCAAACTGACCCCCCACTGATCTTCTTCTCAAAGTAATAGGCTAACAAATGCCAAGAAAAACTGTACCAAACATGAAAAAAAAATGCACTAACCGAGGAAACAATTCATTTGAATTATACTCTACTATCCGAATGAATGAAATATTAAATAGTGAAGAAAAATAATGTAACAAAACCACTACCAATAAAGAACATATCACTGACTGCAAAAGCTGTAATGGACAGAATTTAGCATCATACACTATTGAAACTGTGAAGACCCTGCCCCATTACCGGGACCCTGTCTTCCAAGGGTTAACCTCCCATTACCGGGATATCACCACCCTCCACCAAAGGATTTCGGCTAACCTGTGGGTCAAACCCCCACAGTAGCCTTTACCTCCGTCCCACATCGGGGAAGGAGTCGTCTCCCCACCCCCATATAAGCCGAAGCACAATATGGGAGCAGTACCCAAGTAGCACACTGTGGTACTTGGGTACTGCTCTCATATGGTGCTTCGGCTTATATGGGGGTGGGGAGACGACTCTTTCCCCGATGTGGGACAGAGGTAAAGGCTACTGTGGGGGTTTGACCCACAGGTTAGCCGAAATCCTTTGGTGGAGGGCGGTGATATCCCGGTAATGGGAGGTTAACCCTTGGAAGACAGGGTCCCGGTAATGGGGCAGGGTCTTCACATAAAAGGCGCCTTTTGTGTGAAGACTCCTCCCATTACCGGGATATAGGTCTTCCAAGGGCAATCCTCCCATTACCGGGAACCCGCCCTCCACCAAAGGATTTCGGCTAACCTGCAGGACTCGCCCCACAGTAGCCTTTACCTCTGTCCCACATCGGGGAAAGAGTCGTCTCCCCACTCCCATATAAGCCGAAGCACAATATGAGAGCAGTACCCAAGTAGCACACTGTGGTACTTGGGTACTGCTCTCATATTGTGCTTCGGCTTATATGGGAGTGGGGAGACGACTCTTTCCCCGATGTGGGACAGAGGTAAAGGCTACTGTGGGGCGAGTCCTGCAGGTTAGCCGAAATCCTTTGGTGGAGGGCGGGTTCCCGGTAATGGGAGGATTGCCCTTGGAAGACCTATATCCCGGTAATGGGAGGAGTCTTCACAGAAACTGTTAAGTTCCATGATCATGCTTAATGAAAAGGAGAATATAAAAGACTAATTTGTGACTATAGCTCCAGAAAACAAACCACATATGGAAGAAGTTGGTGACTACTACTACAAATCAAATCAGAGCACTAAAGACGGAGATGGAGATTGTGATTTGATACCCGATGGCAAATAACTTGTATTGGAAATGGATTTATTTCTTTGCGTTATAAGCAGGGTGGTTGGCTTTGGCAGAATCTGTGTCGGGGTGTGCAGGTCGGTGGGTGGGTGTGTTTGATGTTTGCAAATCTTTCTGTGGGATTTGTGAATGAAGAGACTTGGTGGGGTAGAGGGTCAGCAGGAATTAAGATGGGAGTAGGGGTTCTAATTCTCGTTGGGACTGGGAGGGGTCTGTCGGAATTGGGGGTGACTGTTGGGACTGATTTCTTAATTAAAAATATACTGACGGGTATTAATATCTTTTTGTCAATACCGTTAATGTCATTAACATTGCACTTGGTCCACAAACCACACAGAGATTATATGGCTATAGTTGAAAAACAAAGTGGTATACCACATGAGGTAAAATAGAATTTTCACTTATAATGATGTCAAGGGCGTTAGTAATGATATTATCACCACTGTTATATTTAAGATGTGAAGTTTCATTTACAAACTGAAAGAGTACCTCTTCTTTTACATGGCCACACCACAGTTCTAATTCGGCTAACCCAGATTTCACATATTCTCCATTGCTAAACGTGCAACACTCCCGACGAAGGAGAAGGCTGCAGTAAACATATAACGAGATTTCAATTCACAAGATCTTATCGAAAAAAATGTCAAAAATCCCAGCTGGTGGGTAGGAACACCTACCTATTAAAAAGTTGTACATTAATATAAGAGAAAATTTGGGTGAAGATCTTCTGAGTTAGAATAAGAGGCACCTGACAAAACATCCATAAGGTAAAAACCATGCATCTGTAAGGTTCAGGATTTCATATAATTTGTAGGAAATTAAAATTACATACAAAATTTTCTTTCAAAGTACTGAGAAGCCCATTTAGGCTCTGAACGATACTCTGCCAGTGACTAGCTGGAGGACTACCACCAAAGGATCGCCCAGATGATCGCAAAACATTTCCTCTTGATGTTCGTGGTGCCTGGGTGGTTCAGGTGTTGAATCATCAGTTAGAAGTTAGCAACAATTAACTAATAGCAAGGACAACTTCTGCACAAAAGCTTTGTACATAAAAATTTAGGCTACAAAACAGAATTGGATTATAATCTCCGATACAAGCTTATTATAGCCAGCACTTTCAACAGTTTTCACAACAAAGGAAACTCCAGTCAAATGAAATTCCAAAGTGTATATATATGTATCCATATACATACATACATATATATATATATATATATATATAGAGAGAGAGAGAGAGCATGCGTGTCAAGGAAAGAAAATGCAAGGAAAAATCAGAGAACTTCATGATTACTAAAACCAATCTCCAGGGCTACAAATTGTTTTTATTTGAATTTGTATCCTATGGTAAGCAGACTTTCAACTAATCATAACCTATTCAATTTCATTTCCAGAAGTTCTTAAAAAAGAACTTTTTCCCTACAATAAAAAATGAAAGCAATGCAATTAAAAACCCGAGCACTTGAACAGCAATGCAACCTATCTCCAGAGCTACAGTTCTTTTCTTTTCTTTTTTAATTTGAACTTATACCCTATACACAAGCTAACTTTCAACAAATCAAAAACCATATTGATCTGGCAGATGCAGGACGCAAACAACATGTGAGCAGTTATTTTGGGGCTGAATACCCTTACTTAGGCGGGCAACCCCCTCTCGTATCCCGCCACCCACCATCTGCCAGTAACTGAAAGTTATAACAATGAAAACAAGGAATGAAGTACCTGGATACAAGAAGAAAGAAGGGGAGACAATTCCTTCTTCAAGTTGTCCCGAATAATTCCGTAAATCTTCTCCACATAAGCGGTAAGCTGCTGCTTGAAAAGCAGAGCCGGATACTTGGCCTCAACTTGCCGCACTACATCATGCCCACCTACTGAAAGGTTGGCAGAAGACGGGGATGATCTGAATCCCTGAGAAATAATCAGTGTTATATTACAAAATATTTGGGCATTTTGTCAAATTCTCGACATTTTGTTAGAGAATACTCTCTCTTTTTCAAAGAATTCTGTTAATCCGACCTCCACTAATTTTAGCTCAAAACAGTATCTATGCCATCTCTTCAAGCTATAATCAATTAAGAGAAATTACTTGTGCCATCCTCCCAAAAAATGATGTTGGAGGGGGAGGTTTTTGTGAACTTGCACCAGTAGTTTTCAAACTCCGTTGAAGCAAAAACAACAATGTAGAGGTATTGGACAGCCAATAAGCCATATGATCATTATTAGCCTCATTCTGCAGAACATAAAATCAAGTATGTCAGGTTTCAATTTCCATGACTGAAAATGAAAAGTCAAACACCTGAGAAAATTAAAGGGACAGAAGTTTAACATAGGCATAACAATAGCTCCACAAGTAGTATAGACATCCCTGACTAGTGGCCCCTTATTTTGTGCTAGTAAAATTTCAAGATCCACAACCATACCACAAAATGATAGAAGGGGCTCTGCAAAGGTATAAAAGTAAATACTTAGCCCTCAGAATTCAAAGTACAATCTACAGATAATTGAAGAAAACAGAGAGCAGAAACTCCCAATTTGCCCTGGCGGCCCCTGGCCCTTAGAAATGAAAACACTACAAAACCTCATTTCAGTAGTTCTATGCGCCACCATAGAAAGATATACAAAGAAAGAAAAAGAAAACTTTCTACACCAAACATACTGTGACAAAAATGTTCTGCTATTGATGCCTACCAAATCTAAATCAGAGATTAATTGTATGCATAATTCTCCTACTACACAATTTGATTAAAACAGTTATTGTGAAATTGCATGGGCTGAAACAATTACTTGCTTTGCTTATCAAATTAAAACATATAATTGCTTTATTGGATGTAAGTTACCTCCATTGCAGAACCAATAATCTGAATAAGACGATCAAATACACTAGTTTTTTCAGCTTCAAAGGATTTCCAGTGGAGAAGGCATTTGTATATGGTAAAAGCAGCAACTGGTTTTCCTTGACTGAATCCAAGATCTTGTGTGACAGATTTGATAAGGGCTTCTACATTTTCCTGTAGCAAAGAAAAATACGATAGTGAAATTAATTGATACGCTTCACCAATACCATTGATTTGGTTGCTGAGAAATCCATAGGGAGAGAAAGGAAAACATAAATTCTAAATCATTTTTTGTCCTCGTTTCCAAAAGTGGAACTCTACTGCACTATTTCCAAAAACTGAATGGCTGCAGGGTTTTGTATTCTCTTTATCCCCGGCATTTCGTATGCATTTGTCGGGTGTAGGTTTGCTATGTGTCAAATTTTTCCATTTCCAGGGCTCAAATGAACACTGCTGAATAAATGTTGTGACAACACATTTTGACTTTTTTGAGTAAGGCGATAGCTAGACAGGGGTACTACAATGATAATTCTTCAGGCCCCTGCAGGACTGAATGAACTGTGTTCCATGTCAGACACTCCTGTTGAAGTGGCGTCAAATTTAAGTTTTTTAAACCATTTACTTGCCATACATGGTTACTATGCCCTGTCTTACATTAAAGAAATAAGGTAAGAAGATATTTAATTTAATTTGGAGAGAAATGTGTGCTATGTCTTCCTTTGTTGGATACTCCTGTTGGAGAAGCATCAGATGACAGATCTATCGTACTATATATCAAATTCATGCACACGTCTTTCATGTAGAGCGAAACCAAAGCAAGCCCGAGATAATTAGAAATGTCAGGATCAGAATTTTAGGTTTGCTGTGAAAGACATCAAAAGAATGAAGCAAATTGAACATAATGGAACAATGTAAAAGAACAATTTGTTCTTCCTTTAAGCACATACGCGCTGCCTTTCGATATTGGATCTTCTCATCTGGTTATCAGATTCTGTGCCAAACTTTTTTGCAGGGGTTTCATCCCTTAGTTCCTGACAGAAAAAATATCCCTTGTGATTGTGGAAAATCAGTAGTGCATTAAATATGCAGCTGAGAAAGAGGACATGTATGTAATAGACTACACAGGCTGTGGTTCTGTACGCACATGATAACCATTCTCCGAAAACTGCAAATAGAAAGAAAGAAAGAAAGAAAGGGTAAGAATAATTCCCAAAAAAAAGACCACAAGAACAAAGCAGACATTTTGTGTTCCATGTTTCACCTGAGACGTAATTGCCAAATGTTCTGACATTTTTCTTGCAGGTGAGTGCAACAAGGCTTGTTGTCGCAGAATCTGGTCCTCAGTTTCCATATCAGAAAGTTTTTCTTCAAGGCTGTGTAAGAAGGCAACAATGCGCACCGAAATAACAAAGAAAAGTTAATTACAAGTGTTACAGATTGCCTCATCAAGCTTCATATGGTACTTAAATTATTAAAAGAAATACAGATCAAAATCAAACCCAGCCTCTAAATATCACAAGATATGAGTAAAACGATCTCTGTAACAACCTCTGCATGGCAGTCTTGAGCAGAATTATCTTCGACTCTGCATCCAACGCTTGCTTCAAACGCTCTTCACTAAGCTTGTTTGTTTCTTCATACTTTTTTTCTGTTTCATCTATTTTCTGTTCCAGTGAAGTTACCAAAGCCTGAAAAGTATTGCAACATCCAAGATATCAAACAATATTAAACACAAAAACTACGATATTCACAACTATGCATTTTAAAATCCTTATATAAAAACTCCAATTAACAAGAAAATTAAGTATACTTGACTGTCAGCAAACTTGCCTTGAGCTTCTCATTTTCAGCAGTAAGCTGGTTGATCATTTCATGATCAATAACTGGGACCTCTTGTATAACTGGAACTTGTTCAGCTGTGTTCTTCGCCTCCTCACATTCCTTCATAAGTTTTGTCTTAGTTTCTTGAAATTCAAGTTGCAGCTCTTGCAAAACAGACTGCAATTTTGCATTTTCCTGAGTTTTAGCTTCCTCAATGTCAGCCTACAGACGTTGAAAGACAGCAAAACAGTGAGAAACAAGCAATAGTGGACAAATCAGTCAATCTGTCTCTTTTTCTACAGCCTAATAGGTACATGCTAGATAAATCAATCTTGTATAGCCACCATAAATGAGACATGAAGCAACTGCAAAAACTTCCAAAAAAAAGAGCCACAATCCAAAACTAAGCAATATAAGCATTGAGTTACATTTAGCCAACAAAATGGAATAAATTGGTTGGACTTGGGAAGGACCAATGTAACATGAATATAAGACTATGGTACGAATATGCATAGGACTTCCACAAGTTAGGGTATAAGACTGTAAATGGGCATCTCTCAGGCAGGCATGACTTGACTATTTTGCAAGTGGTTTGGATTTGAAAGAGGAGAAAATTGAGGAAAATTATGATATGATGCAGCAATTTCATAACAACTTCACCCTCATGCGTTTCTCCAACTGCAGTCGCCAAGTTAGTTCTTCAACTTGCTTTTCCAGCTTAGATTTGGCAGCTTGGAGAGCACCAGTTTCCTTTGCAGCCTGCAGGTGGGCAAGAAAGGTCAGAAACTTCACGTGTAGCTAAAGTATGCAAGAACACTGTACAACAGTATCTAATTTGAACTGCTTAGGCATCTCTACGAGGGATAGTGTACTAATGTAATTTTAAAATGAAACAAGGAGACACTAGTCGTTCCCCAACAGCTTATGTGCATGACAAGAGGGGAAAGAAGAAGACCAAATCACTGCAGCCAGCAGTCTAAGGCTAAATGTTGCATGAACTTCATTCATTCATAAGCTGACTAAGTTTCCATTAACTACTGCTTCGTGCAATTGCAGAAACTCAAGCTGTGAAGCATAAGAATGTGGCTTCAAGTGTGGACGAAGAGAAGTGCATACAAGTAATGCCTACATTAATGGAAGGAACACTGGGTAAAAAGGCCTTTGTTCTTTGTCACCCAATCTTGAACCAGGTGAAAGGACAAAACCAAGTAAATTTTCATTTATGACATAGCCCCAGAACTATCCAGTGGATTTCCCTATATAAAAAGAACTCTGAAGAGGAGGAAGAAAACGGAGCATCGTAAGCTTAAATCTTATTATGAAATAACAAGACTAGGTAAAAAAGAAACTCTCACCATTTTAAGCTTCCGTAGTTCGCTGCGGGCCATTCTTCCTCTCCAGGCACATTGAGTAGCTATTGCTGCTTTCTTGATTCTCAAAAAATGAAGGCGAGCTAAGTATCTTCGGCACTGTCTCTGTAATAGATATTGAAATGTTCAAAATCCATGTAAAAGAAATGGACAGAAAAATGTTCTCAGTGAATTTCAAAGGGGAGAAATCAAAGAAATGCGGCCACCATGGATAAGGCTGCTTATGGGTGAATAAGGACAATTTCAATTTCATTGAGACCCAAAAGACAATCTCCATCCCCTTTTTCAAGACAGTGTAAAAGTTCAGAATTTTGGAGTGCCTGAAGGTGTTTTTGAGTTCCAATAAGATTATCTCAAGCTAAAACAAGGGAATAAAAGCCTAAGGGCTTCAATTTCAAAAGAATTCAAAGGAATTCCACTCTTCTTGATTAAAGATCATTGGATAGAAGGGTGAAAAGCACTTTGAGATCATGCCATTTATGTTTTGTTTTTGTTGTCGTTTTTTAGTAATTTACTTGTAACAGTATATGACCACTTGTCCTTCCTTGCACTTTATTTTTATTACTAATAAATCTCCTCAGTTTAAGATCAAAAAACAAGCACCAGTTGTTTTCTTCCACTCTTCTGATCTGTGTTATATGTACCCATCTTTACCCAGATCATAAAATCTGCTCTGTATCAGTTTCGGATTCATTTCAAATAAACTACGGGAAGTCAAATGCTACCAAAATCAAAATTTTCCATGCCCAACAATTGCAACATAAAATCCAGGTCAAATTTTCACTACACATAAAACCAAGTTTAGTTCTGTCCAACTTGAAGAAAAAGAAAAGGAAAAGAAAAGAAATACCACGGTATTTGCTTTCTTCTAAAATTAAGTATTGTCTTCAAAACTTTTATTCGCAATAGCATAACTGCATACTTACATATGCTTAAATAAGGAAAATTTGTAGTTCAGCAACATAGATTAAAATGCATATCCATATGTCAGAAGAAAGTTAACTGGGGGCTTGACAAGCCATGACCATGTCAAAACAGCATATCTGTGTCCACAAATCATAGGAAATAAGGTGAAAAAAAATTGTCGCAGAAATCGACATAATTTTTTCCCAAAAGAGAAAATAAAATGAACTAAGTTTTGTTACAATTTTAAAGTTGTAACTGCCTTAGAATTGCCCATTATTTCAGTGTCTTCATAACAAACTCCTTACCATCACCTATGATCTTCCTAGGTCCTTACGAAAGGAACAAGCTACCATAGCTTAACATCACTTAACTGGGATCTGGTAAATATGTTCCCACATAAACTGAAAGCCAATTATAAAGAAAACGAGTTCATCTATTTAACTATTTTTCCTCAAGCAAGGCTGGAGAGCAATGGTGTTGCAAGATGGTTAAGGATGTGTGGTTTAGATTGCAGTATTCTTTGAGCTTATTATATGTATCTGGACAGATTTCTTATCCACCTCTAACCTAACTTTGTTAACCTTTCTGTTTCTTGTTTCAAAATGAAAAAATGATAAAGTAACATGGAAAATATAACTCACGAGATCTTCAAGTTATCAACTCTTGTTTAACTTGCGATAACTATAATATACCTGAATGAGAAGTGCTGCTTGTGTCTGCTTTCTGAGTTGAAACTCACTTCGAGCAGCCATCCCCCGCATTCCTGTTTGAATATAAAGAGCTGAGAAGCACAACATAACATGAGCTTTCTTTGCAAGATACATTCGTGTATATTTTTGGATCCTCAAACTAGCAGCTTCTTTCCTCATGCTCTCATAGCAACGACGTGCAAGCTGTCCTGCAGTCATCTCGGGAAAAAACAAGAGATCAAATAGAATTACTAACTCATCCCACTGGTATCTAGAAGTTCATTACCTCAAAGCAATCATCAAGATGCATACATCTAACACCAGTTAATACCTCTACATAGAGCCTGGATTTGCATGGCAGAAAACCGCAGAGAGGTAAACATTTTGCGTCCAAAATATGAACGGACTTTCCTCTGAATAACGCTTGCAGATCTTCCTAAGACCTCAATTCGACAAGAATCTAATTCTGCCATCTGACCTGCTCTGAGGAACACTTTTGTTTGACCAATCTGTAACATGTTTTGATTAGTTAGATTCATCTGTAAATCTTCATAATCTTCAAGTCTAAAACAGCAATTCCTAAAATATATTGTATGAACGTATCAAAATGCGTGAAGTCCTTGTATTAAACACAACATGAAACGGATACAGGCGAGAGAGAAGTGTTCAAAACAGCTGACTTAAGATACACGATAAATGACTGCAACTAACATTAAGAGGAACACATCCCTAATTCACTACAACTCCCATAGGGTTTCACTAAGCTGTTCCTCTCTTATACCAGAATTTCAAAGTGAGTGAATATTCATGCAGGAGAGCCTACAAATACTGAGACCGCTTTCTATGGGGAAGAAGAGAAATACATACAATACTGCAATAACAAGTTTGTGTCCCAGCGCATGAACATCTAGCACAGTCACACCCATCCCTTGTGCCCAGGTCCACATCACAAGTCCCCGATTAATGCAACAATAAAATGATGTTTGAGACATTAGACAAAAGTTAATGCTATCATTAGTTTTTCTAAATAGAACATACTATCCTTGCTGGGCTTTTATTCCTCCACAAAGACAAACATCAGAATTGTTGATCTATGAATTGTCTAACAATTACACATACAACTAATTTCAATCCTGTTTAAAAAACAAGCCCATATAAAGGCATGAAAATTACCTGATAGCCCTGAAGGTTCACTATCTCCAAAAGCCTCTTGGAAGCAGTGATCTCATCACAGCTATTTCAATGAATACAACAGGAAATTTGTAGAGGTCAAAATTTAATGCCAACACCCCAAAGAAATGGAAATCCACAAAAAATTAACGGACTTAACACAATTAATTCAACTACCTCCCATTCAAAACATCAGGTGCAAGAATACCAAATCGACCTATGAATTCATCAAATGTTTTCCTAGTGGGATATCCAGCACAACTTATCCTAATTGCCTCCATGACTCCCTAGAATGACAAAATTATCAAATTCACAACGCATCCACAGCAACTAATTGGTAACACAACAAACTTGAAATGATCTAAGTGCTAAACTCACCCCACATCGAAGCTGATTCAGTACATTCTGACTCTCAAATATACCTGGCTTCAGAGAATTATTTGGCTTTACACAACGAATGTAATGTGGCTCTGAGGAACTAAGTGTCTCAAGCAACACTTGTAGTTGTTGCTGAACAAAGAACATGACAGCAATTACCATGAAAAGTGTAAAACAAGTCGAGATATACATCAACCAAACATAATCCAACAGAGACGGACCTTAAAACGAGAAGCTATTGATGAGAACTTTGACGTTTTAGAAGATTCTTCAGGCAAGGGTGGGAACAAGCCTGACACAAAGGAGCAAATTGAAGCACTCAGGAGTGCTTCATGCTCTGCTACAACATAGTCTTTGTTCTTATCCAGAAAGAAATCAGTTTGGTAAGTGACCTGAAATCAGAATTCTCTTGGTAAAGTAAGCCTTAGGGGCGTAGCAGTTGTTTGCCTTGATCTTGCTAAATGTGAATTTTTAGAATCTCATACTACTGCTTCAATGAAGATGAACAATAGATACATACATCACCAGCATAATGGCAAATGGTGAAGTCAGTCTGTGACAATTTAGGCTTGCTGAAGCGCTTATGATCTTTAAACGTCTGGTATAGCTTTTGTGCAAATGTTTCATGCGTTGATCTTGGAAACATACTACAAAACATGAGCAGGACAGCATCACAAGAAATCATACCAATTCCAATCATTTTCAGACTAGGCAATCATTAACTTTTGAAAATTCCAAACACAAATAATTGTAACAGAACTGCTGTATCACATTCATACACATACATACCAAGCCTCATCCAGAAGAGCGATGATCCCACCAGGTTTCTGGAGTAATTAAAAAAAAATATAAGAGTAGGAGACACAAATGTATCCGACAGTGACTCCATCATTCAGCATACACACTCTTCCCTTAAACGAGGGAAACATCAAAGAAACAAGCAATATGGAAAGGCAATAACGAGAGAAGTACAAATAAGTTATTATTCCCATTGAGAGAAACAACTGCATAGCCATAGTCTCGTTGGAATCATAATGATATTAGGCTCGCAATTGTTTTGGGGGAGGAAAAAGGGATGTTTGCAGCCTTGCATCCTCAATATTTAGGACATCATGTCAAATAACAATTTTGGCATCAACATTCACATCACCTTACAGCAAGGAATCGCCAATCATAAGAACAACAATAAAAGTCACAGCTGATACAAAAATTTAGAGCAAAGTATTCAGGAAGTATTCCCCAAATAAAGGCACACACATACAAAACTTCCCACTGAGATCAAGTGCACATTACTTTGAGTTAATTTGAATCTTCCTTATGGAAGTCATTTTCTAAGGATTCAATAACTAGAACTGACTTCATGTTAGATGGCAAGAGAAGTCATGGATAATACAAGAAATAGAAAAAATAACACTTAGGAAAACAATGCAAATACAAGCACAAACCTTCTCAATAAGATCAAGAATATCTTGATTATCAATGAACTCTATATAACTCCAGTCAATTTCTTCTTTAGTATATTCTTCTTGCTCCATCTTAAAAACATGCTGCCAAACAAAACATCCAATGTGAGATTATCAATATGATAGCATTACAAATCCCAAGGAACAGTAGAAAAAAAGGAGCACAAATAAATGCACAAACCTGATTGAAATGTTGCTGCAGTTTCTCATTTGTTAAATTAATACAAAATTGCTCAAAGCTGCATAAACCAACATTTATGAAACAAAAATAAGCAAAGCTGCTCACTCACACGTGCACAAGCAGCCATCGTAACAACACACCAGTTTTGCCTAAAGCAGAGCCTCAGCTAGGAATATTTGCATGCATTAGCAACCTTATGGAGGATTTGACAATAATTAATATGACATGTAATAAAACCAACTTAACAGCACAATAACCACAATATTTCAAGTCCTCAGCAAGGATCAAAATACCGTTTCGAAACGGTCGAAACATCCGAAACGTTTTTATTTCCAAGGAGATCGAAATGAATCAGTGATGGAATCGAAATTCTAATATTTCGAGGTATTCCATAATGTTTCGAAATATTTTGTTATATTTCAATGCATTTGTACAATTATTTCGGAATGTTTCAAGATATTTTAGTATATTTCGATCAATGTTTTGAAAAATAAATTCTTAAATTTTTTATTTTTTTTCATTCTGTTTTCGAAACAGATTGAAACGTTTTCGAAACACGTCAAAACGTTTTCATTTCCTAGGTGACCAAAACAAAATTTTGATCCTTGTCCTCGGTATATTTCCCTCACACAAAACACAGGTTCTCATGCAGTACTCGGCAAGATTATTAACCACTAAATGATCTCAAAAACAAAAGCGTACCAGCTAAGCACCTGTTTGTCTTGAAACTCTCAAACCCATAAATATCCAGAACTCCAATTAAGAATTTTGAATCAGGATCTTGACCAATAGAATTATTGATCTTGTTCACAAGCCTGGGTCAACAAGTAGTAAAGGCCGTAAAGAAACATTAAATACCAAATACAATGACAGTTCAATTCTAAAATAATCCATTACATTAAACTTTTTCTCCTGGAAAGTCCATTATATTAAACTTACCAATCAAATAGCCTTGAGTAAACAATTTTGGCCAAAGCATCTCTACTGACGACTGCAGCGTCTGGATCAAGGCTTTTTGTTATTGTCTCATCACGAGTTACAATCACACGTTTGCACAAGGAGTCTTCAAGAGACTTCTCATCACACCTAAACAAGCCTTGTAGATTATGAAGTTGGCTTCTACCACTGGGAGACTAAACTACAAATGTGGTAATATGGAAAAGCATAAATAGAGGGAAAAAACCACTCACATAAAAAGCTCAGCTGCAGTTCTTAAGTGGAACCGAGACTGATCATCCTTAGGTTCAGAAGAATCTGTTTCACTCCCCTTCCCAAACTCTACATTGCCCAAGTGGAGAATTGCAGCCACAACACGGAATATTGCATCCTGCAACATGAATTTCCAACTGAAGATATCCATAATGGATAGATATTTAAAAATGGGTATATAGATGACATTACCTGCTCATCAGAACTTATTCCAACGACATCCATGGCCCTTCTTGTTGCCAGGTACTCCTTGGAATCATCCACTCCATCCAGTTCATAACAATTTGATTGATTCAGATAATGAAATATCCTTGGATTTTTCAACTTGTATCTTCCAACATCCTGATAGAAAGTATGATATTATAGAGATGGAAACTCAAGCAGAACATCAATATACAGATGCAATATTTCATGCTAAAATTTCTGAGAATGGAATCAGAAGAATGAAGTTAATGTGCAAACAATAATGCACATATTCCTGACGTAACCTTATTAAGCTATTCATTCAAAACAGAAATATTCATTTTTCAATTTTACAGCACATGGATTCAAAACTCAACTTTAAATATGCCACCACCACACGAGGTTGATCCATATTTGGAATGAACTTACCAAAAAATTGGAAAATTAACAAACTTGATATTATCAATCTAGAAACAAATTTCAAGTCTGCAAGCAGCAAGCTGTAGGGGAATTCCCACGCTTCAAATTTTTCCCCTGCCTCTGGAGGGTTGAGACATAATCTTAAGTGATTACTCCATAGACAACTTGAGATTCTTCGGGGATTGCATATATACAAAGAAAATGATCAATTGGAGACTCATTTCACTACTCAGATATTAAGTCTACCAGGTCAAGTTAGAATAGTGAGCCCAAGCCAAAAGCCATAGTGTTGACTGCCTACTGCAGTGTAACACATTTTAGTTTACTCATCTTGTAAGCAAGTCAGTGCAGTTTAGTTGTGTTTAAATCTTCGTGGGGTTGAGTTTCTGAGTATATAAAGCATCTTATAGCATAGTAATTATTTAGTTCTCTAAAAGATTTAAAATAATTTAAACCAGAAAGAAAGTGCTCAAGTTAAAACAAAATTTGTACTTGCACGAAGTGAGAATAAATTTAGTTCTATTAAAAGAATAAATTTAGTTCTATTAAAAGACACTGCAACGAGCCCCATGTTATCAATGAAAAAGATTCTGTAAGCATATAGAATACCAATTACCTCTGGTGGTGCAGCACAAAGCATATAGAAGCAGTGATAATTTCTCTCCGGGTCGGACACTTGACAAACACGTGATCGCTCCAGCAAGTAAGTTCTGATAGCAGCTCCTGAGATTCTCCCTTGCTGATCAAACTGTATCTCTACGAACTTACCAAAACGACTGCCATCACAGCAAAGTCATTGACAAACTTCGATCAGTTGAGCATAAAATACACTAAAGAACTTCAGAATCCAAAGGGGTTGGGGTTTTTTTCTCTCTGTTTTTGTGGGGATTGGGGATGAGAAATCACTTTGAATAATAGGACAGCCCACCTAGAATTATTGTTTCTAACAGTTTTTGCATTACCGAATGCTTCAAGAACAGGATTCGACTGCCAAACAAAGAAACACTTAATTAGAAAATTCAAGAAAAACAATGTGTCATTAACATGTGCTTCATTGCCAAGAGGAAGTGACAGCATACCAGAATTCAATATCAGAATCATCCAACTACAAAGTCAGATGAATAAAATCCAAAATTTGCATACCTCTAGCACTTGCTGCTCCACTGTTCGTCCCTCAGCTGCTGCTCTCCCACCCATGTATGCAAGATAACGCATAAGCATCTTTGTGCTTTCTGTTTTACCAGCTCCACTTTCTCCACTAACCAAAATCGACTGGCTTATTCCCTCATTAATCATCTGCCTGCATTCAAAATTGCCACTTGTTTGTAAGGCACATAACAAATCATACAGCATCAAATACTTTGAACAGACAGGAGAGCATGAAGGGTGCCTGTATGCAGCGTCTGCAATAGCAAAAGGGTGCGGGCTCAGCTCCCCAAAGGCTGCCCCTTTATACTGTTCCATCATATGACTATCATACAGATGTGGTAGCCGTTGGAAAGGGTTCACAGCGATCAATATACTACCTGTGTATGTCTAGAACATCACGAGTAGATTAGCTTTAAAAATCAGTGCTGACAGGAATTAGCGAGTGAAACAAAGTAATGATAGCTTGAGACCCAACATATAAGGCAGATCATAGAAAATTCCCTGCCATGCTAACCACACTGAACATGAGATAAGGGTGAGCAATATTGGAAAATTTAATATAAACCGGCTAACCCAAAATAAACTGTACAGAGAGAGAGGGAGAGGGAGAAAGAGAGATGTGTACAGGCCATCTGCTATACTCACATAAATTTCATTCATATCGTATCGACATCTTAAATTCTGTAGAACACCCGGTTCATGCAGATAAGCCAGTTTCGTCATATCATCCACACCACATGGAGGAGCTTCAGTGTCTTTATGATAGACATTGGAAGCACTAACTACAACCTACAATATCAACATAAGAACAATCTGTGTCAATGGCTAAAGAATCCCCCCAACAAGAGCGCTTGAAAAATAAATTTAAAGGCTCCATTTGCCTAAGCAGATTGTGAGGATTCGAAAAAAAGAAAGCCACCATTACAGTTGTATGATATATATGAACCGTATATGTAAAGCATTAGCATGAGATGGTAGGAATGTGACATGAATGCTTCATAGCACACAGCATAGCGGTAAGGAGGAGATTTTTATGTAATTCATCCAGACCTATACTTAGTTTTGCTTTATACTTAGATAGCAAATAGCATAACAATGAATAACTGAGTGAACTTTATATCTTCAAGCGAAAGAATTACAAAAGGCTAAAATATGGCAGAAGTGCTCACAATCTGAATATATAAAAGAACGTATCAAATACCAACCGCGTCAATAACTGTAAAGTCCGTAATAGATTTCACAAATACATCAGTAAAAATTAAGCTTTCAAGATGTCAATATCTCTTAGTCAGATAGGCTGAAAATTTTAAATGACATTCATTGTTCATGTAAGGATACGTACAACAGGAATGTTCTCCCATAACAGTGGGCACCCTTGAAATTCCAGGTGAGAGATGAGCATATGCATNGAAGGGTGCCTGTATGCAGCGTCTGCAATAGCAAAAGGGTGCGGGCTCAGCTCCCCAAAGGCTGCCCCTTTATACTGTTCCATCATATGACTATCATACAGATGTGGTAGCCGTTGGAAAGGGTTCACAGCGATCAATATACTACCTGTGTATGTCTAGAACATCACGAGTAGATTAGCTTTAAAAATCAGTGCTGACAGGAATTAGCGAGTGAAACAAAGTAATGATAGCTTGAGACCCAACATATAAGGCAGATCATAGAAAATTCCCTGCCATGCTAACCACACTGAACATGAGATAAGGGTGAGCAATATTGGAAAATTTAATATAAACCGGCTAACCCAAAATAAACTGTACAGAGAGAGAGGGAGAGGGAGAAAGAGAGATGTGTACAGGCCATCTGCTATACTCACATAAATTTCATTCATATCGTATCGACATCTTAAATTCTGTAGAACACCCGGTTCATGCAGATAAGCCAGTTTCGTCATATCATCCACACCACATGGAGGAGCTTCAGTGTCTTTATGATAGACATTGGAAGCACTAACTACAACCTACAATATCAACATAAGAACAATCTGTGTCAATGGCTAAAGAATCCCCCCAACAAGAGCGCTTGAAAAATAAATTTAAAGGCTCCATTTGCCTAAGCAGATTGTGAGGATTCGAAAAAAAGAAAGCCACCATTACAGTTGTATGATATATATGAACCGTATATGTAAAGCATTAGCATGAGATGGTAGGAATGTGACATGAATGCTTCATAGCACACAGCATAGCGGTAAGGAGGAGATTTTTATGTAATTCATCCAGACCTATACTTAGTTTTGCTTTATACTTAGATAGCAAATAGCATAACAATGAATAACTGAGTGAACTTTATATCTTCAAGCGAAAGAATTACAAAAGGCTAAAATATGGCAGAAGTGCTCACAATCTGAATATATAAAAGAACGTATCAAATACCAACCGCGTCAATAACTGTAAAGTCCGTAATAGATTTCACAAATACATCAGTAAAAATTAAGCTTTCAAGATGTCAATATCTCTTAGTCAGATAGGCTGAAAATTTTAAATGACATTCATTGTTCATGTAAGGATACGTACAACAGGAATGTTCTCCCATAACAGTGGGCACCCTTGAAATTCCAGGTGAGAGATGAGCATATGCATTCACGAATTGATTTTAATCACTGATCCCAATTTGCAGATTACTAATTAACCAACCCCATTCCAACTAATTTCTTGCAATCATCCATAGAACATTTAGCCAGCTAATTTCTTAAAAATCAAAATCCTTTAACCCATACTTCTGGTAAAAAAAAATGTGTATTGGATATTGTTGTCTTACATTTTGTCACCACTGTATTAGGCAACTGAAAGTTAATATAACACGGACTAATATAGTAGTACACACCATGCATTATGCCATATATGCATGTTAAGCAGCCATTGAGGAGGCCATGGTGACAACTTAGGACTTTTGACACCCATTGGGTTGTCCTGATAACTTCATAAATTGTATTCATTTATTGGTCTAGAATTTTGGTTCCAAATTGGACAATGGGCTACGCTGTGGTAGTCACCTCCCATGCTTTACCCCTGCCTGCAAAAGAATAAAGTAAAACAAAACACTGTAAAGCCTGATCTAGAGACAACTTATTCTACGGATAGCTGGCATCATCTTTTGCATTTTTATCAAGACTTACATATCACAAATTTGACTGAATAGCGTCATTGACAATAAGATTTTCATGAAACGACTAAACCATTCAGGCAGAGAGCAACAAAGAAAGCATAATAAAACTAACGTCAATCATAAAGAGTGTGCATCAAAAATGTAGATAAAACAGGACAGGAAGTGCAAGAAGATCTTGCTTATACAAAGAAATTTATAAACCATAAACAATGGCACACTTCATTGCAATAATCCAAACCAGGATTTGTGTATGAAGAGCTCACTGTCTTGCCCGATGTACAGTTTACTTTAATCTCTTCAGCATTAATTTCCACAACTTCTCCATCTAACCAGGCCACCTCAGGATCCTCCACCCAAACATGAGATCCAACAGCTATATTTGCTGAAACAGTCTGCATGGCAAAGTGCATTTCAGTAAATCAAACAATTAGAATGGTACCTGTATTCGTACACGAGTTGTGTGCACAAAAAACTAGCTTCTCTATTGTGGCCAAGAATATTCCAAGTGCACAACCATATGTAGTGAATAAGCATGAAATATAAGTAAGCTCAAAAGGTATTATCCGTGGGACACCTTATGACACTGTACACTATCATATTCAATTTTCATTTCTCTCCATTACATGACAAGTTTCATCCACAAAATATCCAATGTCAAACACATATCCTGTAAAAGATGATGCTCTCTGCAACAGGTGATACTAAAGCAGAATGTAATATTGCATGGTAACTTCACTGATAAGATTGACTATAGGATCCAGTTTCACCTCTTAGTACTAAACTAATGAATAGAGATTGAGCTTCACTTCACCATCCTTTATGAAAAAGTTCTAGCGTTGACAATAGATGAGCTAAAGAGGTGGCTGGGCAGTTGACCAGGTCCTACCACATACAGACAGCATGCAAAAGCTGCATCGGCATGTTCAAGAAAAAGACAAATGAAGGAGGAAGAAGAAGAAAAACAAGAATGGGGAGGGGGAGGGGGAGGGGGAGGAGACATGGTGTGACGCGCAAAGTTCTTATTATTGAGCTTGCAAGGAGGACCACCGCGTTTGGGGATGTAGGTGCACCCATTAGATCCTCCAGACTGCAAAGACTATAACACAATATTTTTGTTTTTCAACCGGTCTCTTTCTTCTCCATCTAG